CATCACTCCTGCTTGGGGATTGGTCAAGATTCCTCACACATGCAGTCCAGCCCCTTCTCACCCCCACCCGCTGCCTTCTAGAAACTTCTCAAGCTTCTAGAGCAGGGGGAGGTATCAGGGAAATGACCTACAGAGCCTTCAGGTCCTGACCTATGTTAACTGGCTGACTTATCCCAGGCTGCTATCCAGTTTCTAATTAAAAATCAATCTAGCTCCCCCTGGCTAACTAGAGGGGAGCTACACGATCACAGAAAACTTTGGGGGGAAGGAAGTAGATTACGGCCTTACAATGCTGACAAGGTATTCGTAGCAATACAGTAGTTCCTTTATTTAACATCTTCCTGCTATATTTCTTAACTGTTCCTATTCACCTGGGAGTTTAGAATTTTCCTGCCAATCTGAGTGTGTTTCAGTGCCTCCTGTTTTATTCTCCATACTATAAATACACCGTGCTCCCATAAAGCAGTTGGAACTTTTTCCAACGCATTCTGTATAAGCTGTTCTGCCAAAAAATCACTTGGTTTTGTGCAAATAGTATTGGCCTGTTTTATCATAAGAATTAATGTTATTTATTCATACAGACTGAATCAGGAAAATACAACATTATGGGTGCTAGATGGAGCTAACAATCATAATAAGTATTTATAATTATCACCTCCATCTCGGGTGTCAGACACTGCCTGGCAGTACCTCTAGCAATCCACAGGACAGGATTCCCCAGAGCGTGGAGTCTATGTCCCAGTCTGCTTGTCCACCAGGGCCCCTGATGGTGGGGATGGACTTGGAGCAGACCGTGACCAGGTCACGGCCCCTGAGTACACCTGCCTGTGGTAGAGGGATCCGCCAGAGGTATACACTGGTAGAGAGCCTGACGTGAAGAGGCGGATAGGCCTGAGCAGTGGTGACCGGATCCGTGCAGGATGGATGGATGGCAGGGTAGTAAGCGTGGTCAGACAGGCTGGGTCGGTTACAGTGGGGACAGCACCGTACAAAGCAGCGGGCAAAGAGTAGTCAGGTCACTCGCCGGGTTCGGTAACAGGAGTTCAGATCAAATAGGGATATCCAGGAGAGTAGTCAAACGAGCCAGGGGTCAGAGCAGGAGATAGTCAGCAAAGGTCAGGATCAAGCAGGGTCAGCAACAAATCAATGAACAGGTACGCAGGAACAGAAACAGGGTAATAAGACCATACAGCAACTAGTGTCTGTGCAGTGCAGGTTTAAATAGTGCACCCTGCACTGTCATGATGCCAGGTGCGTGTCCGCAATCGCGAGTGCGCATGCGCGGCCGCCGCCGCAGCTGCCTGGGTCCTAGCACCTGCTGATTAGAGAGCATTGGCGTTCTGCGCATGTGCAGACCCATGCGCCGACCTGATTGCTGACATAGGGGCTATAATATAGTATTTTCCCTTCTATTTTGTGTTAATTAATAACATTCAACCTGAAGCGCAAATAGACTAACAACTTTTAATTTTGCCTCTATTCAAACAGAACAAATGTACAGGCAATTTCTCTGCATGAATAGCCTTAGTGATTTTAAGTGGTCTCTCATTAAAAAAAAGTTCCTTTATCATATAACTAAAAGCAAAACTATTTTTAGTTTTGGATAGAGTGGAGAGGGATTAGAACACCAGCTAGTCTTTATTGCTGTCTATGCCCCTGTTAGGGAGATTTGCCCTCTCTATTTGTCCTGTTTACTATTATCATTGAAAGTAAAAGAAAATCCCAAATTATGTGTTTCCACCAGAAAAGTAATAGAGGAGAAATATTCCAATGGGGACACTGGTTTTGGTTACTTGGGGGTCCCAAAGGAATTCTCTTAATTTGTAGTGATTTCCTTTCACGTCCTGTTTGTCTATGGGACAGGAAGTGAAAGGAAATCTCACACAACACAGATGGCAAAAAAAAATAATTGGCAGGGGTTATAACTCTCCTTTGCTCTATCTCAAATAAAACAAAAATTGCCTATAGTTCTCCTTTAAGTATGTTTTACAGAATGGACAGCTCATTCCTTTACACTGTCCTGCTTTAGTACTCAGATGTCTGTATGTACTCTCTTATATCTGCTGTTCTGCAGCAGGTGGATAATGGAGAGGAGAAAGCTACATGTGGCTTCAATCCTTATATAAAAAGTGTGAATCACAAGTTCCTTCACACTGGTTTCCATCTCTCATATACTGTACTTCGGGCCTTGATTCAATCAAAACAATATATTACATTATTTGACACTTCTTTGCAGGGGCGGACTGACAACTCATGGGGCCCCTGGGCAATAGGGGGATCATGGGGTCCCTGTGTCCTTGCCCACACTCAAACCACACCAAAAAAAGCCTATGAAAGGTACCAGGGACATCTCATGGGGCCCTCTACTGACCCTGGCCCTCGGCAGTTCCCGAGTTCCCTAATGGTCAGTCCGCCCCTGCTTCTTTGTGAGTTTGTATTGGCAGGAATATCATCAATTACCATCTATCAGCTGGAGAAATGAGTAACTCAATTCTTTTTAATAAGCTCACTATCCTATAATGGAACGATCCTGCCGTCATTAAATAATAATGACAATGACTTATATTACCAAAGCTGTAAGTGGCATGAATATGATATCTTAGTTACAGGGTGTTGTTTGTTTACCTAGGTACAATACTGTCAAAGTATATAAGTTCTCTGGTAGACCTCTGTACATTGCTCATTGTGATGTCCACATCCAATGGCAGGTGTTGTATGTTGAGTGACAAGGACTTACTTCATCAATTTTGTCTGCATGAGCGATCAACCAGGACATCACAGCCTGATATGTATCCAGACAAATAAAGTGCAGCCAGAAATGGAGACTATCTACAATCAGGAGAAGCCAGGAGGATCTCAGGATGCTCAGAATTCAGAACTAGCTCCTGGTATAGTATCTCATTTTAATGTTATTACTATATTATACTATATATATTGTATTGCATACAAAAGCCATTGTCAAATTTATTGGTTTTCACCAAGTGTTATTGATTGCATTAGACCTAGAAATGTACAGTACATAAAGAACGTATGTAATAGCATGTTTAGATTTCCTAATGTTTTCTTATTTTCTTAAACCTTTTAGCCAGGAAAGTGACAACATTAAGCACTGTCAATTATTTGTTAAATTTTAGGAAGGGAAAAACAATAGACTTTAGAGAATAGTTGGGCAGGCATGCACAATCGGACCAGTTCCTAATATCTCCTGGCTTAGTTTTTCCCTTCCACAGAACTACTGTAGACATGTGCACGTTGGAAATTTTGATTTAGTTTTGGATACGGTCATTCACTGGATAATTTAATTGTCATATTCATTTATTTGTCCTGATTCGTTTTCAGAATTAGTTTAGTCTATTTGTTGGTCTGGTTGGATTCAAAAAGCAGACCAATTCAAATCAAAAGGTTTCGATATTTTTCAATGCTAGTGCAACCCACCAAGAGAAATGTCATGAACTGACTGGACATTCAACTGGCGCCACGTGTATCTGAATAAAATCAATGGAACAAAATTCTGAACCATTCATTTTCCGAATCCAAATTATCCAACAAATTTGAAACATTTAATCAATTTACCTATGGACCCAAATTACTATCACATCTGCATCATGTGACATCATCTGAATGAAATAAATGCATTTGTTAATTTCATTATAACTTTTTTTCAGATTCATTGACATTTGCTACTATGTCCATACAGAGGTTTGTATTCATCTCTGTTTTTGAAATGTTCATCTAAAATGTTCATCCAGATCAGCAGACTGTCATCTATGGGCACCTTTAGTCTATAGCTGTAGATAAAGTCATGTATTGTGCAAATATGAATCCATGATATTATAAAGTGATATCTCCTGGCTCAGTTTTTCCCTTCCACAGAACTAGACAAGTGCACGCCGGAAATTTTGATCTAGTTTTGGATACAGTCATTCATTGGAGAATTGAATTGTCATATTCATTTTGTTGTCCTGATTCACTTTCAGAATTAGTTTAGTCTATTTGTTGGTCTGGGTGTATTCGAAAAATGTTGCAGTTTTTCCAGAAGATTGCTATATATTTGATATATTATCGAATCAGACCAATTCGAACCAAAAGGTTTCAATATTTTCATATGCTAGTGCACCCACCAAGAGAAACGTCATGAGCTGACTGGACATTCAACTGGCGCCATGTGTATCTGAATAAAACCAATGGAATGAAATTCAGAACCATTCATTATCTGAATCCAAATTATCTAACAAATTTGAAAAATGTAATCAATTTCCCTATGGACCCAAACTACTATCACATCTGCATCATGTGACATCATCTGAATGAAACAAATGCATTTGTTAATTTCATTATAACTTTTATTCAGATTCATTGACATTTGTTACTATGTCCATACAGAGATTTGTATTCATCTCCATTTTTGAAATTTTAATCTAAAAAAACTAAACGAAAACACACACGTCTAACAGGAACCAAGAGCCATGAACACAGTCCTGGAACTGGGAAATAAAATGGTGATAAAGCAAGACTTTTCAACCCGCCTGATGATTGGTTTTTTTGCCCGCGAATGCTTATCTGGGGTTGCTCAAGATTGGATCATCATTCCACCTGGAAAAAGAAATACCAGATCTGCAGACTCATCTGTAGGCACCTTTAGTCTATAGCTATAGATAAAGTCATGTATTGTGGAAATGTAAACCCATGATATTATAAAGTGTCATTATAAGTTACCTGTCATATTATGAGTGGTGTATGGAGCCATTTAGACCCCAGGTCCTTTGCTACATACCACAACGGAACATGAAATGGCTGACACTGATCGCTCTGGACTACACTGACATCTTTTTTTTTTTTATATATTTTTCCATATATTTTCTTAACTTTCTTATTTATATATATTGCACTGTGATATGGGCTGTTGCTCTAAGGGCTCATTTGGTATCTTCATTTCTCTATATAATATGCTTTGCTATTTTTCAGGTAGCGAAGGTATCGGCTGTTTTGGTTACGTCCTGATGTTTTTCTCTTTCCTGATGGTTCTTATGACTTTTCCTATTTCATTATGGGCTTGTATCAAGGTAACAGTATGAGTGTATGTCTTTACATTTTGAATGTGTTTGTAGAAAATCTCCATTTCAACAATAAACTTTTTTCTTTTCTTTAGATTGTGCAAGAATATGAAAGGGCAGTAATCTTCCGCCTGGGAAGAGTCAGGTCTGGAGCTAAAGGACCAGGTATGTGGTATCATGTGTGTTACATTCTATGCAAAGGCTCAGGGAAACCTTTTCACAAGTCAGCAGGTCCCATGGCCCAACAGTAATGGAGAAAAAAAAAAGCAGAGGGCTCCTGTACTGGATGTTTTGGAGCCCAAACAGTCATCCAGATTTCCATTGCATCCAAATAAGAAACCTCTAGCACTACCAGTTAACCGCTTCCCGAACGCCCTATAGCAGACCTATGTATTGCTACAGGGTGTCAGGGTTGTGCTAAATCACATATACATACGTGATTTTGCATTTCTGGGTAGGGATCGCTTGCGTGTCGCCCTACCCATGCCGCCATTGGCGGCTACAGCTGTTGATCACCAGGTCCCGACTGGGGATTCCCTGCCGGCACCCAGTGATCGCCCAAGAACAGTGAAAGGGGAGAGGTCTGTATGCACAAACAGGCTTGTTTGTATTGCTCTGCACAGCAGAGCAATACAAAGCGCCTTGTTTCCCTGGTAAAACACACACAGTACAGTTAGCAAAACAGCACACAGTTAACCCTTTGATCGCCCCAGATGTTAACCACTTCCTGCCCAGTGTCATTAGTACAGTGCCAGTGCTTTTTATTAGCACTAATCACTGTATTAGTGTCACTGGGGGTGTCAGTGACAGTCAGTTCCCACCCAGTGTCAGAATACCCGCCGCACTCCCGATATAAGTCGCTGATCGCCACCATTACTAGTATAAAAAAAAAAAAAATATTCCAGTATATATACCGCCATTTGTAGACACTATAACATTCACGTAAACCAATTCATTTACATGTATTAGGATTTTTTTTTAGCGAAGACATGGAGCAGAATACACTCCCACCCACTGTGAGGATGATATCGATCGCTGGGCGAGAGGCCCGGTAGAGAACACCCAGCTGTGGCAGTGGCACAGCCGTTGTCCAGATAGGACTGTCACTCCGGTTCCAGACCGTGGTCTGTCATTTAGTGACCACTGCTTTATAGGTAGCCCACTCTTTTTCCATAATCTTACTAATCATTGTGTCTTAATATCAGCCTCCTATATTCCAATGAACAGCAGCACTGGAAGAAGGAAAGCCAGCACTATTGACCAGTTAGCTTTTGCTAATGTTGATTATTGGAATGAATTTAGGGGTTATTTATTCAGTGTGCTGCTGCCCTTCCATAGTTCATTTAGCAGGTTGGGGATTGCTCTTTACCAACCTGCTTTACTGCTACTGCAGTGGAAGTCAGCGAACTGATTGTGCTGTTTGGTAGGGGTGTCTAGATCACCAAATGGTCTGCAAAGAATTACAAATACTTTGACAAGCAAAACAGTTCCCATGTAGCTGATCAGCTGGAGTTCACTGTTTCTATCTATCTATCTACAGGTGAAACTCAAAAAATTAGAATATTGTGAAAAAGTTCATTTATTTCAGTAATGCAACTTAAAAGGTGAAACTAATATATGAGATAGACTCATTACATGCAAAGCAAGACAGTTCAAGCCGTGATTTGTCATAATTGTGATGATTATGGATTACAGCTCATGAAAACCCCAAATCCGCAATCTCAGAAAATTAGAATATTGCGAAAAGGTGCAATATTCTAGGCTCAAAGTGTCCCACTCTAATCAGCTAATTAAGCCATAACACCTGCAAAGGGTTCCTGAGCCTTTAAATGGTCTCTCAGTCTGGTTCAGTAGGAATCACAATCATGGGAAAGACTGCTGACCTGACAGTTGTGCAGAAAACCATCATTGACACCCTCCATAAGGAGGGAAAGCCTCAAAAGGTAATTGCAAAAGAAGTTGGATGTTCCCAAAGTGCTGTATCAAAGCACATTAATAGAAAGTTATGTGGAAAAGAAAAGTGTGGAACAAAAAGGTGCACAAGCAGCAGGGATGACCGCAGCCAGGAGAGGATTGTCAGGAAAAGGCCATTCAAAAGTGTGGACTGAGGCTGGAGTCAGTGCATCAAGAGCCACCACACACAGACGGATCCTGGACATGGGCTTCAAATGTCGTATTCCTTTTGTCAAGCCGCTCCTGAACAAACAACGTCAGAAGTGTCTTACCTGGGCTAAAGAAAAACAGACCTGGTCTGTTGCTCAGTGGTCCAAAGTCCTCTTTTCTGATGAGAGCAACTTTTGCATCTCATTTGGAAACCAAGAACCCAGAGTATGGAGGAAGAATGGAGAGGCACACACTGCAAGATGCTTGAAGTCCAGTGTGAAGTTTCTGGGGAGCCATGTCATCTGCTGGTGTTGGTCCACTGTGCTTCATTAAGTCAAGGGTCAACACAGCCGTCTACCAGGAAATTTTGGAGCACTTCATGCTTCCTTCCACAGCCAAGCTTTATGGGGATGCTGACTTCATTTTCCAGCAGGATTTGGCACGTGCCCACACTGCCAAAAGCACCAAAACCTGGTTCAATGACTGTGGGATTACTGTGCTTGATTGGCCAGCAAACTCGCCTGACCTGAACCCCATAGAGAATCTATGGCGGATTGCCAAGAGAAAGATGAGAGACATGAGACTGAACAATGCAGAAGAGCTGAAGGCCGCTATTGAAGCATCCTGGTCTTCCATAACACCTCAGCAATGCCACAGGCTGATAGCTTCCATGCCAAGCCGCATTGAGGCAGTAATTGCTGCAAAAGGGGCACAAACCAAGTACTGAGTACATATGCATGCTTATACTTTTCAGAGGTCCGATATTGTTCTATGTACAATCCTTGTTTTATTGATTGCATGTAATATTCTAATTTTATGAGATTGTGGGTTTGGGGTTTTCATGAGCTGTAAGCCATAATCATCAATTATGACAAATCACGGCTTGAACTGTCTTGCTTTGCATGTAATGAGTCTATCTCATATATTAGTTTCACCTTTTAAGTTGCATTACATAAATAAATGAACTTTTGCACGATATTCTAATTTTTCGAGTTTCACCTCTATCTATCTATCTATCTATCTATCTATCTATCTATCTATCTATCTATCTATCTATCTATCTATCTATCTCCTAATGAATGCAGGCCAGCATATTCTTCTGTGCTCTTGTTGCAACTATTTTTTAGTATAATGACAATAAAATACAATATAAATATTTCTTTCAGCCCTAGAGCTATCCTCAAATATGACATGTCATGGTTGGTATAGACAAGAACAAATGGCTAATTTTGATACCGTTACTTCTCTATGACCAACTTGTAAGATGTGTAATATAAAATTGAACGAATGTTTAAATGGGGCCTGAGGTGTCTTGAGTTTAAATGTGATACTCTGCTAAGAATCAACAGTTTAATTACTTGTAACCTTGTACATCTGCCTGTTCAGTTACACACTGCACAGTTTAAAAGGAAACATTATTTAAAAAAATGTCTGGATATTCTTGCAACAGTTACTTCCTTTACAAGCTATGAACCAGGGGCAAACTGACAACTCATGGGGCCCCCGGGCAATAGGGGATCATGGGGACCCTGTGTCCTTGCCCAAACTCAAAAAAGCCCATGAAAAAGGAATCAGGGGCATCTCATGGGGCCCCCTACTGACCCTGGGCCCTCGGGCAGTGCCCGAGTTTCCAAATGGTCAGTCTGCCCCTGCTATGAACTAAGGATGAAATTTAAAAAAGATAAAGCATGCTTCATTGGGTTAATATGAATCTAATGCATCATTGAATTAATATGACACTGCCTTTTACATTTAAAAATTAGTTTCTGTACTGTCCTTGGTTGACGGGGGGTTTCTTTTGAATTGTTATGTATACAATTTTCTTCGAACCTATCTGTATACATAAAACTATCACTGTATCTGAGTAAATCTCGCAATGCTTATTTTTTGTGCATTGTGGATAGGGAGCTCAAGCAGATCAATTTAATTTCTTAAAACGGAGTTCCACCTGAAAAAAAAAGTCAGCAGCTGCAAAAACTGTAGCTGCTGACTTTTAAAATACCGACACTTACCTGTCCCTCAGTCCAGCGGTGTCCTCACCATCGCTGGTTTCACTGGCCGTCTTCTCTCCCTGGTGCCGGCATCTTCAGTGTGGGCACCCGGCTGTGACAGCTTGCGGCTTCACAGCTGGGTGCCCACTGAGCATGTGCGAGAAGCGCTGCGCTTTGTGAATGGCCCCATAGTCTTCTGGGACCTGTCACGTGTCCCAGCAGACTAAGGGGAGGGAGGAGGGGGGGGGGGGGGACAGCTTCCGCTTCCAATCACCTAGGTGTTCGCAGTGGAAGTGGGAGTGGGTACTTGTCAAATTCGGGTACCCGCTCCTCAAAGGTGCCAATCCTTAATGTGGAGTGGGGGACAAAAGCTTAAAGCGGAACTTCCCCTTTTGGATGGAGCTCCACTTTAAGGCCCTTTCACACTGCTGCACTTTTGATACGCTTTTGATGTGCTTTTGTGCAGCTTAAAGGATAAGTTCACCTTTTAGCAAAACATAATAAATGCACAATTTTTTGCAGGTAAAAAAATGTGCATTTGTTATTTTTTCTTTCTGGAGTCTCTAAAGCATTGCACCATTGATCTCTTAGATTGGAAGCTCTAACGAGCAGGGCCCTCTGTTTCCTCTTGTACCAAATTGTATAGAAACTGTAATGTCTACCTTCATTTTGTAAAGTGCTGCACAAACTGTTGGTGCTATATAAATCCTGTATAATAATTGACGGGCAAGCCGTGACTTACTGACAGGAAGGCTCAATGAACTACCGTGGCGCTCCATAGCACCGCAATAGTTCATTGACAACTACAAGCTGACAGCCGCAAGACTTTTGGGACTTGTAGTTTTCCCATTCACAGATTATTGTGAATGAGTGACGTCGCAATTTAAAATTGTGACAGCTAGTAGGGAGTTGAATGTGGGTGTAACATGCTACGAAAGGTGAACATATCCTTTAAGGCCCCTTTCACACTGATAAGCATTTGATGTTTTCCCATTAACTTACAATGAAAGATGCCTTTTTGTTGTACTTTTGTTGATGCAGCATGCAGGACCTTTCAAAGCACAGTACATT